ATATAATATGCACCTACGTACAGATTAAGATATCACAATACCTATAGTCTATGAGACGCAACTATCTCATCTCGTACGTACTAGTCTTGATACGTTATGACGTCCGTATTATCATAAAGTGCGACTAGGGATATTCTAGACATAGCCTTCGTCAAGAAGTAACAGTCTCATAATCAGAACATCGTAGTCCTCATCTTTGTTACTGAAGCGCTATCGTCTATGGACTGAAACTATGTTATGTTACACGAGATATAAAACATACTTCAAAGCCTTTCATTCATGATAACGTGTACAGTTACATAGGTATTTGATTGCCGCTAGGGCACCTAAATACAACAATCTCCCACTTGCCCTAAGGCCAATCAAGCATTTCTCGAATGCCCATGGACCACGTATGACTCTCGTGTTTAGGCTTTCCCAAAGCCTTTGTCAACGGATCCTCGATATTGTCGTCTGTACCTATCTTGCAAATCTCAACGTCCCCACGTGCAACGATTTCTCGTATGATGTGATAACGTCTAACGATGTGTTTGGTCTTCTGGTGAGACAGAGGTTCTTTCGCTTGTGCAATTGCCCCATTGTTGTCGCAAAACAACGGTATAGGGTTCTTGATGCTAGGAACCACTCCAAGCTCAGTAATAAAATTCTTGAGCCACACACCTTCTTTGGCTGCCTCGGCTGCAGCCATGTACTCTGCTTCTGTAGTGGAATCAGCAGTAGTATCTTGCTTGTAACTCTTCCAGGTAACAGCTCCGCCATTCAAACAAAACACATACCCTGCCTGCGACTTGAAATCATCTCTATCAGTTTGGAAGCTGGCATCAGTATATCCAACAATACTGAGCTCTTCATTTCCGCCATATACCAGGAAGGCATCCTTAGTCCTACGGAAGTATTTAAGGATGTTCTTCACAGCCGTCCAATGGCTTTCGCCAGGGTTGGACTGGTATCTACTCGTGACACTCAGAGCAAAGGCGACGTCAGGTCTCGTACATACCATCGCATACATGATGGATCCAATGGCCGACGCATAAGGAACATTTCTCATGCGTTCTACTTCCTCCAGAATGGAAGCACCCTGAGTCTTGGAAAGACTCGTGCCTTGGACCATAGGCAAACTTCCTCGTTTCGACTCAGACATGCTGAATCTAGCAAGGACCTTGTCTATGTATGTACTTTGACTGAGACCTAACAGCTTCCGTGATCTATCCCTATAGATCCTTATGCCAAGTGCATAACTGGCATCTCCCAAGTCCTTCATAGAGAAACTCTTACTCAACCATGTTTTGACGGTGGTTAAAGTAGGAATATCGTTTCCTATGAGCAGTATGTCATCAACATACAGAGCAAGGAAGACTACAGCACTCCCACTGACCTTCTTGTATACACAAGATTCATCCGAATTTCTTTCAAAACCAAAGCCGATGACAGTTTCGTGAAAGCGGATGTTCCAACTCCGTGAGGCTTGCTTCAATCCGTAGATTGATCGCTGCAACTTGCATACCTTGGTAGATTCTTCAAGAGCGCAAAACCCTTCAGGTTGTGTCATAAAGACATCCTCAAGGAGGTTTCCATTAAGGAAAGCCGTTTTGACGTCCATCTGCCAGATTTCGTAATCATGGTATGCTGCGATAGCAAGTAAGATCCGAATGGATTTAATCATGACAACTGGAAAAAAAGTTTCGTCATAGTCGATACCATGTATTTGACGATATCCTTTTGCTACCAATCGTGCCTTGAAGGTTTACACCTTACCATCCATGTCAGTCTTCTTTTTGAAGACCCATTTGCACCCAATGGGTTTGATCCCTTCGGGTGCATCAACCAAAGTCCATACTTGGTTGGTGTACATGGAATCCATTTCGGACTGCATGGCTTGACGCCATTCCTCAGCCTCAGGACAACTGATTGCCTCGACGTAGGTCTCCGGCTCATCCTGGTAGATAAGCATTACGTCACCCTCAAAGGTTAGGAGGAATCCATACCTTTCAGGTTGTGCGCGTAACCGGTTAGACCTACGGGGTTCTTGTGTATCTTGAGCATTTTGAGGTACAACAGTTTGTTCCTCTAGCTCATGTTCCAGAACCGGCGCGGTAGTTTCTTCGTCGTCTCGAATTTCTTCGAGCTCTATCTTTCGCCCGCTAGTTGCGATGGAGAGAAATTCCTTCTCGAGGAAGACACCATTGTGAGCAACGAATACCTTCTTATCGATAGGGTGATAGAATGAATACCCTCGAGTTTCCTTTGGGTATCCCACGAAGAAACACTTATCAGACTTGGCGTCAAGCTTGCCATTCGTCAAAAGACGTTTGACATAAGCCTCACAGCCCCAAATCTTTAAGTGTGACAGAACCGGGCATTTGCCCGTCCATAGCTGGTATGGTGTTCCTTCAACCGCCTTGGTTGGAACTCGGTTAAGAGTATATATTGCAGTGCTCAGCGCATACCCCCAGAATGATTCTGGTAGAGTCGAATGACCCATCATAGAACGAACCATGTCAAGCAGGGTTCGATTCCTCCTTTCAGAGACACCATTCCATTGTGGAGTCCCAGGAGGTGTGAGTTGGGATAAAATCCCATGCTCTCTAAGATAGTCATCGAACTCACCACTTAAGTATTCTCCACCTCGATCGGATCGTAGTGTTTTAATACTTTTGCCAAGTTGTTTTTCAACTTCATTCCTGAATTCTTTGAACATTTCAAAGGATTCTGACTTGTGTTTCATGAGATACACATAGCCATATCTACTGAGGTCATCAGTAAAAGTGATGAAGTATGAATAACCACCTCGTGC